GTGGGGAAGGCCAGGGGGGGTGGGGAAGGCATTACAGTGATGGAAGTCAAGAGTCGAGAGTACGATGAGTAGGATCCAAGAGGAGAGCGAGATGATCATGGTTCTTTGTTGTGTGCTACCATGTAGTAATCGGATCGCGACTACGTACAAGGCATATGCAGTTTCCGTAACCTGGCCTTCTGTAGTCTTTATCGACCATGTCTTGTTTTTTCGGAGTTCTTTTCCTAAGAGGTCTTTACCCATAAGTTTTCGGTTGTCAAGGATGGGAACATGTTTCTTGGTGATGAGATCTTCGATGGCCTTTTGTAGGGCAGTGTCATATGGTCCGGTAGCTCCGAAGGGGCTGACGGGTATCCTAAGTATTCGGCAGGTAGGGTCTAGGGTGCCATAGACGAGGTCTAGCACGTCTTCGCTGTCTCCGGCGAAGCGAGAGCTGCGGGATTCGTCAACGGAGCTGTCGCAGAGGGGCTCGAGCCCGACGCCGGTAAGGACGAGATCGGGGTTCTCTGTTGCGAGAATGCGACCGTCTTCCTTTAGGGCGGCTTGGAGAATGTCCTGGGCTTGCGCAATTAATTTCTCATAGCTCTCCAACAACACTTCGGAGGTCTGCGTTCCGCGCTGAGAGGAGGGCCCCGAGACCGTGTCGCCTTCGGACAGGTCCATGGCTTCGGCGTCCCGCAGTGTCGTGTCAGGCGCCGCCGCCTCTTGAGGCCACAGTCCTACAGAGGTGCGACTTGAACCGGCGGAGCTTGTATCGAAAGCCGAACTGGCCAAGGCGGCCGCAGCGACATCCAACCTCAGGGTACTCGGGCGACGCGGCCGGCCCCGCGGGGTGTCTCGGTCCCAAGACCAACCCCCGTGGCCTGTCGCTATCGCACCCAGGCGACGGCGATTCTTTTTTGGACGCGAGAACTTCCGGACCGGCGGGGCCCTCTGTTCCACAGGCGATTGAGTGGCTGTCTCGACCGGTACTGAATCGTGGTAGTCCTGCTGTTCCAGGTCGTACAGATCAGCGAACTTGAGTCGACCCTGGTCGGCACTTGGCGTCAAAGGCACACGGTCCACCAACAGACCCTGACTCGCAACCACGCCCTCCTCCTCCTCATCGTTATCATCGCCGTACACACTCCCCCCGCCCCGTGGCGATTGGTAGCCGTCACTGTCTTCATCGCTCAAGCTGTCTTCGTCGTCGTCATAACCACTGACACTCGACGCTTCGCTGTCCTTGCCCGACTCCGCTTCCAGAAACGCCGCTCTCGACTCCTCCCAACTCTGTTCCGGGTCCAGGTCAGCCGCCGCAGCGTCCAGACCGGCTGCGGTCGCCGAGCCATCTTGTCCTGGGTCGTTTGCGGCGGAGTCCTTTTTTAGGACGGCTTCGTCATCCGCGGCGGCTGCCGATAGGTCGCTGGCAGGTTTGTTCTCGCAGAGAGGACACACGGTATCGCAGAATTGTTCGAGGTAGTCTGCGCAGAACTGGTTGGCGGCCAGGTCTCCGGGTAGGCCGGTATCGCAAGCGAAAGGTTCGAAGAAGTCGTAGTTACTTTTGATGGTGCAGTTGATGTAGTTGCGTCCCCGAGCAGGTTGAGTCAAAGGACAGGTCTGTAGGTAGGTGCGGCAATTGACTTGACGTGCGTCATTGTAGCTTGATGGCATGAGGTGGCAACGCCATTGTCGCAATGCCCGTGCAAAGAACCCCAGTTCGAATCCAAGCGCTGCCCATATTAACACTCGCGTCCAACGACAAAACAACACACATACGGCCTGTGCGAAGGTCGCCAACTTCTTACTAGCCATCACCACACGTCCACCCGGCAACAACCGTGCAGAAGTCTTCTTGTGAGGACATGTCGCACCTAACGAACGCTCCAGGAACCCTTCCATGTGCGATACTAACGCACATGAACTCGATAACACCGCCACACCTATCATCGCCATCAGCGGACTTAACATGTTTCGAGGCTTTCTCCACGGTAGCACTGACAACCGCAACCAGTCCCATTCCTCCAACGGCTCCAACTCGCAATGCTGCGGTGTAATCAACGCTCGCAGAAACCGACTTGTTGGCCGCCGACTAAACATCGGCACAACTGCACATACCAATGTTACGAATCTGCTAGATAGGTAGCTGCCAGTCTAGATAGGTAGGCAGACCGACCGACTGTATGCTTACTATGGCTTAGAGCAACTAGACAGATAGCCCAGCATGTTATAGCGTGAACGTGTGAGGCACTTCCCGAACTGAATAGAGTCATCATAAAGTATCGTGGGAAATATTACGTACGTTTTCTGGCGGTATAGACGTTTCACACGGAACCAGAAGCGTCGTAGCATTTTTCTAGGTCTGTCGTGGTGCAAAGAAAGGTGTAAAGGTGTAAACCAAATGGGGGCCTTGATATCCTGCATGGAACGCATTGGTAAACGAGGGCCTCTTGTAGAGGACGTGGAGTCCCCTCGGAATGATGGCCTCGAAGAGGAAGTCGTGCCGCGGAACCGGCCCGCTGTCCGGCGACCAACCTTCGCCCCTGCGCTTGAGACTAAACGCCTACAAGAAAAGTCCCAAAGTTTCTCACAAGTCGACGGTAACGAAGAGCCGACCACCGAGCGACCCGCAGATCTCCTTGAAAAACTACGCGACGTCCTCAACGCCCCCGCCATCCAAAAGCAAGGCATCTTCGAGAAGAAAATTACTCTTAAGCTCGACAGGTATGTTCTCAAGTGCTTCCGCTCCCTTCCCGGCGACCTTCCGCTTCCTTCCCGGGACCTTCCGCTCCGTTCCCGGGACCTTCCGCGCTCCGTTCCCGGGACCTTCCGCTTCCTCTTCCCCGTTAGTGTAGCCTTAATTCAACCGCCCTCCTAGTCCAACCATCTTCTAATACAACCTTTCTGTGTTTAGTTCTGGTTCAAAGCTGGAATGGTACGGTTCAAACGCGCGTACTCCATTGGGCAGTGTGCCCATATCTTCGGTAAGCCGTTACCACGCTCACTCTGACCTTGATTAGATTTCGGAGATTCGTCAAAGCAAAACGTCATCGGATTACGTAGAAATCCAGAAAGGCTCGGAGGTGATTACCTTTGGGTTCCTGGACCCCGCCGATCGCGAAATCTTCCAAAGAGCGCTTGAACAATACACCCAGTAAGCGAACGGCACTCAAGGGGCACTCGAGGGGCACTCGAGGGGCACTCGATGGTGGCAAGAAATGACGCGTTCTTTCTTTAGGCTGAGCAAATCCTTCTTACCGACCTCCAGCCAGCAATGAGCGTTCGGTTGGGTCCATAAGCCAGGCTCACAAATAAAGCCTTGGCTTGGATCCTCGTCTTGGATTCTCAGATTGGATCCTCGGCTGGTTACCGGCTGCCGACAAGGGACTTGAGGAACTCTGCGATGCTGTCGTCGACCTCCCCGACCGCGTCGACCTCCGCGGCCGTGACTTCCTGTGTCGGGGAGTCCGTATCGGTAGGGTCCCGGTCGTCCTCGACTGAAGTATCGCTGCCTCCAGCCGCGACCGGGGCTACCTTCGTCACAGCCCCGCCTCTCCCTGGCGCCCCGCCCCGTCCCGGCGCCACACCCCGCCTCGACGCCGCGTTCCGTCCTGGCGGCACGTTCCGTGTCTGGCTCCGTGCTTCGCTTTTTTCGTCGTCAGACACATACACTTTCCGGCTGCTCCCGCGTTTCGGGTTCTTCTTCTTCTGGATCGACACCAACTCCTCCGCCCCCATCTCGCTCGTGTGCGACGAAGCCGCTGACGCGTGCGATGAAGCCGCAGACAAATTCGAGGAACTCGGAGAGTCCGGCAACAGCGCCGCTGCCGACGACGGCTGCACAGAAACCAACACCGACTCGGCAGGTATTCCGCCACGCTCCACGGTGACCGGACGGCTCTCTCCGTTCGGGCGGTTCTCTTCGCCGGGACGGCTGTCTGTCGGGTGCCCCTCTGTCAGGCGGTTCTCCGGAGGGCGCGTCTCCGCGTCCGACTTCTTGTCATTTTTTGGACTGCCTCGCACGCGCTTCCGCGGCACCACGGACTCCGACAGGCTCGCCTTGACTCCGCCTTCGGCGCCTGCTTCGGACGTTCTGCTACCTTCGGTCGCACCGCCCTCCGTCTTCGGGTTGAGGTCCCGCTTCTTCGCCTTTCGCCGCGGAATTTCGACATCCTGCAAACGAACCACACTCCCTTTAGACAACGGTTTCATTTCTTTCATCGCATTACCCACGGCGACGGGACTGGGAGCCACACTGGACGCTGACGACGTTGCCGCCAAATCAGACGCGGCCGAGCCCGAGAGAGCAGAACTACCGCCTGCGATGGTGGTACTACTGCCTGCGATAGTGGTACTACTGCCTGCGATAGTGGTACTACTGCCTGCGATAGTGGTACTACTGCCTGCGATAGTGGTACTAACGCCTGAAAGACCTGCACTATCACCTGAAGGACCAGTCCTACCGCTTGACAGATCAGTACTAGCGCCTGAGGGACTGGTACCACCGCCAGAGGGGTCAGCACTACTGACTGAGAGACCAGTCCTACTGCCTGACGGCTCGGTACTGCCGCTTGAGGGACCAGGACTGGCGAGACTCGTTCCAGAGGCATCGCCTGTCGCCTGCTCTCTGCCGGTCCGCTTCCGGCGGCAGCCGCCCCCTCTGCCGGTTTCAATGGGGTGGTTTTATCTTCGCCGAATTTCGAGTCAACCTTCGGTCCGTCAGCCTTGGATCCGTCAGCCTTGGATCCGTCAGCCCTGGATCCGTCAGCCCTGGATCCGTCAGCCTTAAATAATGGAGCAGCGGGCACGGACTTGGCTGCGGTCGCGGCCGTCCGCGGTGTCACGGGTTTCAGGAACGTGGGGTTTAGCAGCGCCGGGATCCGGTCATCGCCGAGCACGATGTCGTCCTCCTCGCAAGCCACCGGCCGCGGGATGAAGGGTAAAATCACATCGCTCAAGTCTTCTCCG